GGGCTCAGCACCGAAACCTCTGCGCGAGATCCGCTGCTTCAAGAGACAAATGGGTCTGGGTCTACCTTCCAAGTCGAACCGCGTCCCAATATTGAGCCATCTTTTCCACGAGGCTTGGAGACTCCAGCCGATCGCCAGCAATACCAGATGCAGTTGATGCTGTTGGAACAGCAGACCAGCAAGCAGCTCATGATGGCGAGACAAGGACCTGCAGAACGCCTGCAAGGCGACTGGAACAGCCAGCGAGCAAAGGGTTCGGAAGAGTTAAATGCTGCTTCGCGCGAGGACTACCATTTGCAGCAGATGGCCCTGGAGCATGAGAACGGGAAGAGGTTGATGGGAGCGAGGCGACAGTTGGCTACGCACACGGATGATTCACGCAACCAAGGACACGATGCGCAAGCAAGTGTTGCGAGTTATGAACAAATGGATCCAATGACCAAGATGTCGCAGTTGAGGCTACTAGAAGAGCAGAATAAGAGACGATCGGAAGAGATCCGTGGAGCAGGTGCACAGCGTCAGCGTCATGGGTGCGCGTTTTCGGAGGCGTCAATTAGGGACGACAGGTCAACTGAGGCCCTAAACGATTATCAGATGCAGTTGATGCAGTTGGAGATGCAAAACAAGAAGAACCTTAAGATCTACAGACAAGAGGAAGATGCGGCAAAGCAGACTGAGGCTTCGAGTTTCGCATCGCAAAGCCCACCTGCCCAGGCAGAAGACAAATGGGGGAAAGGTCCATTCCCTGCTGGCCAAGGCGTCATTTCAGGGTATGAGGTTCAGTTAATGGCTCTCGAGAATCGGCGCAAGGAAGAAGCTGCCGCGAGAAGCCAGACTGAAATCGAGTTTAGCCAGCAGCGCCGTCGGTATCTGGCTGGGGAAGCTGAGATGTCAAGATTGTCCGGCCAGCAACTTCCTGGTGCACCTGGAAGTTCTTGTGCACCTCTTAGTACCGTCTATGGCCACCCTCCCGCCTTCAGACCTGTTCCTCGCCCTGATGCTGAGTATGATGACCTGTATGACAACTGAGTGCGTCGATTTCCTTCTGGACCTTGAATTCCTGTGAGCGATTGCCTGTAGCGAGTTGGCCTTTGGAAAGTTTCTTTGGCCTGTTTCTTTTTATGATTGACTCTACTAAAGCGTGATACGTTGGGACGATGTGGATCTGAGTACTTTTTCTTGGTCCTGGACTTGGGTTACTTAATGAGTCAGTGGACAACTGTGACGAAAATTGTATGGCTTGGAAATCGTCCGTAACGTGAATGAAGCGAGGAGTCAGCAATGTTGTAAATGACGTTGCCAATACAAAATTTCTATACTCAAATTGCATGACTCTATTGTCTGCCTTCTTTGTGAAGGTCTCGACTTTCCCATGTTTCTCTTTAGCCCAGCTCAATCAAGCGAGTCTGAAGTGGATTAACCCCCCTGCCCTACTCCACTCCCCTCTCCGCCGCACAAACACCTCTATTCACCTAATCCCATAGAAATTACAAACCCCTTTAATTACTCAAATAAAGACTCGCCTTCAAGTCAGCAGAACAAAAAGCGTTTGTGGTTTAGTGGTAAAATCCATCGTTGCCATACATTTGAGTGAAGACCAAGTACAGTGATCGATGGGCCCCGGGTTCGATTCCCGGCGAACGCAAATTTTTTGGGATATTTTAAGGCCGCTTTTTGGCTTCTTCGTTTCTCGATCCCCGGTTTTAGTCCGCGCAACCAAGCCCTCTCTCTCCCCACTGAAATTTATGTATTTTGTAGCAGAAATGTTCCCCCTTTAATAGAGAACGATATAACTGACACTATGCTTTATCGAATTACTCTCCCCACTGAAATTTATGTATTTTGTAGTAGAAATGTTCCCCCTTTAATAGAGAACGATATAACTGACACTATGCTTTATCGAATTAGGACCTGACTTGGAGGGGGCTAGCGGGCTCCGTTTCCAGACACCTGCGGCTGTGCATCCTTATTAGGTTGTACCCAAAGGTACCACTACCACTGTATTCGTCATCGCAGAGCGTATCAAGTTACCTATTCCACTCCTCACGCTCAAGTTATAACTTTGCAATAAAAATGACGCCTATTTGGCGGCTTGACTGAGTCATCATATCGTTAATCTTTCTTTCACAGAAACAAAGCCTCGAGTATAAATATTGAACATCCTAGATGTTTGATTATAACCTTTCAAATGTTGGCCTGCGATTGGCTGCCTGCGGGCAGCAGTGATGCTGCCACTGATAGAAGTAGGCACCAGCCCGATTCAACCTCCACTGCTTAACTCAACAAACATCGTCAATTTCAAGCCGCCTCTCCTCCAGCTATTCAAGTTGATGACTCCCTTCCAGGCTGACCGGAACAACATGGACACCTCAAAAAGCCCATGGAACGCTGAGGGATTTGCAGAAGACGAGAGCTTGGAATCCTTCAAACGTGATCTTCACGAAAGCAATGAGACAATTACATATGCTTCCAGACCATGTAGTAGTTGCCAAAAGATGACTCTTTCTCTACTGCACTATCTCAATGGTAACGGGCATATCCGACGGGACGGGCCGTATGACGGAGACCTAATTACTTGTAATAGTGGGCCCCCTGGTCGTAGAGCTATTTTCTGTGGGAGACCGGGGGGCCCGCTATCACAAGTAATTAGGGGGGGAGTACTCGCTCCGACATATTGACTCCAATTTGGACTGCATTCTGTGTGGCTTTATTAGAAGTATTAAGAACGACCCGCTTGATGCAATAAGTTATGAACTGCACATGACCGACTCGGGCAAGGTATTTTTCACACAATACAAGTCCCTGGAAGATTCTCTCTCGCACCGATCGAAGTGAATATGAATCCCGTTCTGAATGTAGCCAGTTTATGTGCTCTCAGGCCTTATTCATACTCCGGGTTTTCGCGCTGGCGGAGAGGATACATCGGAATCGCAAGCCTCGATACTAAAACAGCCTCTGCTCAGCTTATACCAGACAAGGTGAACCTTTCAGTAGTAGGCAGCTGGCTTCATCAGTGCCGATATGACCACCCTGCTTGCAACGCAAATCGTCATGCTCCTCTTACATCTTCAAAGGCCATAGATTGTCGCACAAGATTGATTATCAGCTTGCCATTGGAATCATGCTATGAGTACGTCACGCTTAGTTACGTGTGGGGGACCAATACAGATGTCAGTTGGGATAGCAAGAACAGCTTTCCGAAATTGATCGAAGACACCATTAAGGTTGTGAGAGGCTTGGGACTCAAATACCTATGGGTGGATCGTTACTGCATACCAAGAGCTCATGTCTCTTTCTCAGCAACGAGAGGAGGCAGAAAGGCAGCCCGCGTAAGTGATGGAGACGAGATTAAATAATATTCGCGATTCAATATGCATGTGTATCATTAGAGCCATAAAAGTAGTGCACGAAAGGGGGTTTGCAGTGGGTCTCGTCCACCATTGTCATCAGCAAGGTGCTACTAACCACAGAATAACGTCGAATACTCTGACCCTCCCCACAAATTTCCATAAGTAGCGAAAGAAAATACCAGGCTGGACGAGACCCACCGCAAACCCCGTTTCGTACGATATATCGCTACATCACTGCGTTACGACAGGACGTTCGCTAAGCGATAAAACACGGTGTTAGAACCGTTTCCGTTTTCAGGGTTCCAGAGACTTTGGAATTCCACTAACCAGTAGATAGACAGTCATTAAACCGTAATCTGATCCGCCCAGACAATCCAGCTGCGGCCACCAGATTCCGGAGCAGGACAACCGATGCAGACATAGTACTTTCTCCCGATGTTCGGCCCATTTTGGGTGGTGGCGAGCTGAGTCCTCTGCGATGAGCTGCACGTTCGACAAGCTGGCAACCGGGTTGCAGGAGTGGCTATTACAGCAGTCTTGGGAAAGGGGTTAGCATGAGTAATGAAGCGCACTACGAGAAGGGTTACAGACTGTTTGTTGGTAGACATGAACGTGCACTTCTTTCTTGCGTGAAAAGATGCCCATGGTGTGCTGGATAACGGAAGTTTTGGTGAGTTGGTAGGAGAAAGAGAATAGAAGAGATTTGAAAACGGATTTCTGGACCTACAAAAGGAAAGAGAATCTTCGACATGTTGGGATGACGGCCAATACTTGTACCCGGCTCGCGCCCCCAGATAAAAGTGTACAGCCTACGGAGGTACGGACTCAAAGTTTAAGCACACCGCCTTGTTCTGCCGTAAGAGTTTAAACTTTAAGCCTGAGAGCAAGCCACCAAACCACAAACGCAGGTGACAGCCAATCGTAATCTTCTCTGATATCTCTCAGCGGTTATAGAGATATAGAGATAAGGCATGCACTGCCTGCCCAATTAGACTAACCTACAACAGACGCAGCCTTGTCCAGTTGTCCATTGCCACATGGGGGGGGGGGGGGGGGGGGGGGTACACAGGCTCTAATCAATGTCTCAAGCCGAAGGTCCGAGGCCAACTATTATTAGCTATGATCATGTATTAAGGCACCAGATCCCCAAAAATAGCTTGGTCATGTGGTGTAATAATTGGACGACCAGCGAGCCCGGTATCAATTCCTGGGGTCGCAGAACAGGCGCTGAGAGGTCGGTCCAGCTCGGGGAAGTCAGTACATGTCCAGGGAAACGGAAACCAGGAAACAAGATCAAGGCCTTGCACGACTGGTATTGCGCATTCAAAGTTCAAGTTCCTAGAAACAAACAGAAGGACACCAATAAGTTATGCCACGACCCAAGATTAAGCGTAGAACACTGAACAAGGGGTCAAACAAATATGAATCACAAAATCCAATTCAATTATTATACAGATCGCTAACCTGCTATCTTAAATCTATAACTCACAAGATAAGCTTACAACAGGACCTTGTCCCCGATGTGTCTAATCGTAGCTAAAGTCCACCATCTATTACGAGTGGGCGTGTAATGAATTTTAGCGAAGCACAACCTAATGTGTAAAAGCAGCCTGAGCTAAAACTTCCGATTCCATATAAGTTTTAGTGCTCGCAACGATAGATTAATGGTAAAATCCATCGTTGTTATTGATCATTAATTTAATCAATCAGACTCGATGGGCCCCGGGTTCGATTCCCGGCGAACGCAAAAGACAGTTGAAGTATTTATTTTTTGTGTTTTTGTGGTCGTGATTTTTGTTAGCGGCACTGGCTGGCTTCTTGAAAACTTTTACGGCAAATTTCTACTTTGGCTGATGTGCCTCGGATTCTTTTCGCTTAGCGAGTTAATAGAGAGAGGGTCAAGTTTCTGCCTCTTGCTTGGTTGACTTCTTTCTTCCTATGATTGGGTTCGGACCTGACGCACATCCTCGAGCAATGTTGCAGAATCTGATATTGCAAAGAAGCGAAGCACACACAAATCACATTGATAGCTTGACTTGATCCTCTTTTGTATACAGCACTTGTACCACGTCTATTATTTCCGGTCTCTGATTACTTTGGTGTTGAGGCTTCACGCTTGCATTTGGAAATTTTAGCTACCCCAAACGTGATCATATATCTCAGGTGTCTAAGGTACCTTGCATCCTTAACCAAGCAGACCAATGACATCCCGTCTCAAATGCAACGAAAAATATGAACAGAAAGTTTCAGGAGCTATAATATCGCTTGACGAGTGTCTTATTCACAGAGAATGGACTGCACAATTCGGTCCCAGACCCGTTGTTCATGGCCGTGCTTCCTTCAACACATATCACATCGTTGTCAAAACCCGGTGAAACAAAAGGGAAACCGCATAAAAAAAATTTCTTCCGTTAAAATTACCGCCATGGAGCTTTTCTCTCTTCACTTCCCGAGTGCTGATGAGTTGAACATCAAAACCCACCGCCCTAAATCATACATGAAGCAAATTTTTATCCAACCTCAATGAACCACAGCCACGTTCGTAACTCAAACCTCCAAAGTCCCCTCCATAACCGTAGTCGCAGTTCCACTCAACACAACCTCCTGAATGCCCTCTCCATTCTCACCCCTCGTAACCTCAACTCCAATCTCATTCTTCCTCCCCATCTCCACACCCTGCGTAAACGCATACTTGAACGGCCCCTTCCCCAAACTCTTATCCTCTTGTCCAGCCAACCAACATGCCAGCCCACTACTCGCACTCCCAGTCCCAGGATCCTCTCTCGAGCCAAACATACGCGTGCGGTACTTCTTCCGCCCAAACTCGTCCGTCCCCTGAGGAACGAGGTACATAGTCCCCACCAGCCCATTCCTCCACCCCTCATCCAGAGCAGACGGGTCATACGTATTCTCATTCAGATTCTCCTTAGCTTTCGCCAGAGCTTCAAGATCCGGGAGGACTACATAGATGAAACTCATCCCATTCACGATACTCGCCACAGGATTCTGGGTCCCGTTCAAGGGACTCTCAAAAGTCTTCCCATGAACGTGGAAATCAAATGGGATTTCGGCCTTGACTTCTCCGGTCTGCGGATCTTTCTCAATGGCGATCTTGCCGGCTTTGGTGATCACTGTCTTGACGTCTTGAGAGGTCGTTTCGAGGAGGTAGTGGGAGGTTCCGATGGTGGGATGGCCGGCGAATGGAACCTCTGCTTGGTGTGTAAAAATGTCGATTTTACGCTCGGTGGAGGTGGTTCCTTCGGCGGGGAGATGGAGGAAGACGATCTCTGAGAGGTTGAACTCTGCTGCGATGGCCTGTTTTTGAGTCTTGGTGAGAGAGGTACCAGATGGGACCCTGACGACGGCGACGGGGTTACCGGCGTATCTGGTGGATGTGAAGACGTCAAGAGTGGTATATGAGAGCCTCATGTTGGCTTGTATCAAGAACTGATTGAGGCGAGTGAGGAGCTGGGTGTGTGTCAGTTCGAATCCTATTTTGGAATACTCGGAAGAGGGAAGAGAGGAGGTGGCTACCGAACTTGTGAGATGGTTGCGATCTGGGTTGAATCGATGTAATGAACTTGATCGGGTTTGAATTCTTCGAGGGAGAGAGAATTCAATGGTTTATATCTCCTCTTGTGAACCACTAATCACATCCGAGGTTCTGCAGTTCGTCAAATGACTCATCCAATCAAACACCACGCCCTTCAGATTGCTACTCAAAGTTCGTGTTCGTATTAACACCCTCCGCGTGTTGGGGCCGGGTCCTCTGTAATCGTGATGTTTGAGGCTGCTCTGTCATATTAGAAAGGACGAGGGGAGATGAAATGGGTCAAATGAGCTAATTTCACGTGATATCCTACCTCTGTCTAGGTGCCTACGGAGTCCCTGGAAATGTCCTTTTTCCTGAGGGACATCGAAGAAGAAGTTACAAATCCATATCTAGAGGCGGTGCAGGTGTAGAGCGGTTAGCAATCTCCCAGAAAGGTTCAAGGCTTACAATATCAATCATGTGTTTGTCTGCGGACTCAACGAATTCCCCCTTCCAGAACCACGAAGGCATGATGTAGACATATATCAGTAAAAAGACAAACGCTGCCTATTGTCAAACCCGAATCTTAAAACTTTATCTTATCTACATTTACTAGCAAATTCATCATACGCTTCTATCAAGTCAATTCGCTTAGCGAGGGAGACCAGACTTTACGAAAGATCCTCCAAGTCATTCCCAATATCCCACCCGATTTTAAGAAAATATCTCGAAGCTGACTGCTTAAGGTTAGTTGAGAGACTGATTCTGCTCACACGAACAGCTTTGAAATGTAGGGTTGAACAACCGGGAGTTTCGCTCGACATGTTCTCGAGACGTTGAATATGTCGATCGAGGAAGTTCACCAGGGACGTAAAGATTGTGAGTTTACCTTTTGCCAGCCACTCAACCACTTTCCCAAATCCTCCTTGAAGAATAAAAACATGGCAGACTTGGTTGAAAAATATACAATTCTATTCAAAAATATCCTCGTAAGGAATATCCCAGCATATCCTGGAAGCTGATATCCATGCTCACTGATGCCTCCAATGCCGTTGCGCCCGCTAAAGCAAAGACCGAAATGATCGTAACCCATATGTACCTAAGATTTCGCCGCTTGAGAAAACATGATCAAGATATGAAAAGATCTATCTCCCTCCACCAAGCAATTTTCTCATCCTCCCCGACCATCCCACGGCCCCCCAGTGCATCCGCATGGCCTTCAGCAGTGCATACGCAGCCAGTCGGTAGATAAGGGTGCATGCTCCTAGCGCAATCAAGTTCTTCAGCGCATCTGTATCCAGTTTATATAGATCCAAGACCTGCTCTCCGGTTTCAATAGGACATCGTCCGTCGGGTAGGCGCTGCGACTCATTGCAGGTGAAATGAATTGCATGGAGGGAATACGGTGCTAGATTCCGGATGGCGTATCGCAGGGGAGAGAGGTAGTTCACGCCTTGGAGGAAGGCTGGCATATTGATTGACATGACTCCGGACATAAATTGCGAGATGGAGAGGAAGACCGAGGTCAAAGAGATGGCAAAGCCTGTGTGAGGGAAGAGAGTATTGAACCTTGCAGATGTATTAGCGATAGGTCTTGGAGGCGAGTACCGGCACTTACATGATTCCAATACTTTCGCCGCAAGAGACGATGCAGAAACAGTTGAAAAAGCACACGAAAAAAAGTTGAGGTGTTCGTGGTAGCCCGGCAGCCAAATCCACTAGAACGGCGAAGATGAGACTTGTAGCGACCTCGAACGGGACCTCAAGAGTGATATATTGTGCGAGGAAAGCTTCGACACCGTAGGTACCATCGTCATTTTCTCTGTAGAAGACGTCTTTTTCGTCTGGATACACGGCTACATTCTGCAACATGCCAATAAAGTTAAACGCGCAGAATTCCTGGATAAATCCAAGTCGAGTTTGAACGGAAGCGTAGTCGTTTTTCAGTGGAGCGAAGAAAAGTGCGAGGATGACTGCCAAGCCGGTGACTTGCGTTGTACGAGCTATGAGAAGGGGAGGCTGACGACGGAAGTTTATGAAGGCTCGATGGACTAAGATTGGGTATGCAGCGAAAAAGGTTGTCGATTTGCGGATCAAGGATCCCAACTCGGCGGGCGTGGAAATAGTTGTTGGTTGAAGTACTGAGGCAAAATCCCCACTTGTCCATGATGATATAAGAGAACGGACTTTTTGGCGTGTCGCAGCCTCACGGTCGGAGTGCTGAAGATCAATTGTTATGAGATCAAGAGCAAAATCGGCGGGATTTGTGGTGGTTGGACAAGGATATCCGAGAGAGTCGAAATGAGGAAGAAGACCAGCACCGTTGCCAGCATAAACGGGAGAGCCTCCTCTGGCGAGAAGAAGCACATTGCCAAACTTCTGGAAGAGATCCGAGCGAGACTGATGGATTGTTAGGATCAGCGTGCGACCTTCCTGGGCCAGTCCCTGCAGCACTTCCATGATAGATGAGGCAGTGAAGGCATCCAGGCCTGACGTAGGTTCATCGAGAAGCAGAACTCGAGGATCGGTCAAGATCTGAACAGCTATCGAGACACGGCGCTTTTCTCCACCTGAAATGCCCTTCGCAGTCTCAGACCCGATAAGATTATCTGCACAATCCTTGAGACCCAGCTTCATCAGAATTTCTTCGGCTCGTTGATTCTTCTGGGCAGTGGTCATGAATGAGGGAAGTCGGAGGCCAGCAGAGAATCGTAGCGTCTCTCGCACAGTCAGAGATGGCAGAAGTGCATCGTCATCCTGGCAAACATACGAACACACCGACCGAATGACAGAATCCGAAGGTACAGATCCATTGAAAGTCATCTCTCCATATTGCTTGTAGCGCGTTCCTACACTATTGTGGAGACGTAGAGCCATTGCGTTGAGTAAGGAAGTTTTCCCGCTTCCAGACGGGCCCATGATCACGTTGAGTAGTCCAGCTTGGAATGTCGCCGTGACAGGATGAAGGATCGTCTTGGTGGGTAGTTTGCGTCCCACAATTGTTGTTTTGTCCAGATCGAGTGCAAACCTGTCAAGCCCGATGTCTACAGTCCGTACCTCAGCATTTGATCGCACGATCATCTTCTCTTTCCCAGCAGAAAGATCGGTATCTGAAGTGCGTGCTTGAGCGATATTCATCTCAACGCGTAGGAACTTGAACCCAATGAATGCCGCAAGATAAAACATGGCCACGAAAGCAACCATTGCAATGATAG